CATTTAATCTATTCATTTTTCCAAGATGACTGATTTGGTACACGGGGTAAAATACTACTGACTGACAAATTATAATGATAAACATTCATGAGGTACAATGTGATGTTTTGCTATATGTAAACAATGTGGAATGATTAAATCAAGTTCATTAACATATCACCTTTATTTTCTATCCCTTTTATGGTGAGAGCTGAAACTTACCGTTATTTTGAAACACATTATTATTGGTTATAATCGCCCCACTGTGTTACGGTAAATCCCAAAATCCATTCTCTGCATTTTGAAAACTCTGTACCCTTTGATCCAATTGCTGAACATAAAGAAGTAGGGGCTGGAGAGATGGCTCAGCAGTTAAGAACACTGGCTGCTCTTGCAGAGGACCTGGATTTGATTCCCAACAGCCACATGGCAGCTAACAACTATCCATAACTTCAGTTCCAGGGAACTCCAATGCCCTCTACTGATTTCCACAGGCATTGCATGATACAGGTACACTTACATACATGCAAGCAATATACTCATACACATAAAATAAAAATAATAAATAAAATATTAAACAAAAAAGAATTGTCTTTTAAAAAAAGAATATAGTGAAATCCCATGTGAAACTCCTTACCCCTACATGGAAATTCATTCCTTTTAATCTGAACTCAAAACCCCAGAAATGGTTCATACTGGCCTCTACTCATCTTTTTAAGCCATAGGAATAACAGGTCACTGACCAGTCAATAAATCAGTTAAGGAGCCTACCTACTCTGGATACCCATGGCTCACAGGAAGACTGGTATTAAATTATATAGAACACAGACGGCTCAGTAGCAGGTATGTTAAATACAGGTCAACCTACTAAAAATGTCACTGCAGATATTAAAAATTACTAACCCTACAAATCATTTCAACTATAGTCCATTTTAAAAAGAAAACCTAAAAATGGCAAAAGTCGATCAAGAATGAGCTAAACTGTGATTAAAATATCAATTGAGGGACAGTGAGAAGGCTCAGCAGGTAAAAGTGCTTGCTGTGCAAGTCTGACAACCTGAGTTGGATACCCAGAAGCCATGTAAAGGTAGAAAGAACCAACTCAACAAACTCATCCTTTGACCTCTACCAGCTCCATGGCACACGCATCCACACATTCACTATAAATAACAAACAAATAATTTGTTTTTTTAATTTATTATTTTTAGTTTATGTGTATATGTGTATTGCCTGTATATATGTAAGTGCACCTGTGTCGTGCAATGCCCATGAAGGAAAGAGGAGGCCGTAGGATCTACTGGAACTGGAGTTACAGACAGTTGTTAGCTGCCATGTCAGTGCTGGGATTTGAACCTGGGTCTTCTGCAAGAACAGTCAGTGTTCTTAACTGCTGAACCATCTCTCTAGCCCCATGAATAAGTAATTTTTAAAGTACTATTTCAGAGCTTGTTTGGAGGTTCTAGCAGGGGAGAGTGTAGCTACTCCTACACCCTTGACCAATGACTGGTCCTCTTCTGTTGAGGAAAGTAATCCTCTTTGACTAAGCACGCAGCTGGAAGGAATGCACATAAAGCAGTAAGGGAGGAAGAAGACACCTGTCACATCAGCTGAATCACTCTTGGAAATCAATGAAGTCATCTGACAGATGTCACAGTCAGATAGCCCTCACATCCTGAAAGTATTGTCTGAGATGAATCTGAGTCGCCATGGCACATACCCATAATCCTAGCATTAGGGAAGCTGAGGCAGTAAGTGGTGCACTAAAGGCTTGCTGGGACTACAGTGTGAGACCCTGTCTCAATAAAACAAAATAAATTGAGTATGGGAAAGGATCAGCTGGCACTCAGGATCCACTTCCTTATGATATGCCTTGCTGAAACACAGCAGTTTGGAAAACTAAAGTTATCTTCCAGCTTCCTTTACAGCTAATATTGTGACACAAATTCAGTGGTTCCACTATTAAAACAATAAACGCAAGACACAGAAAGCAGAAGTGAAGCAGATCCCCTAGTTTACAGCTTTTAGCTGTTTTTAGCTCGTAAACAAGGTCATGGACATGACAATGTGTAGTCTCCAGCTTAAACTAAGACAAAAAGGAGAGAGATCCCAACTAGGGGTAAGAGCATCAGCTGAGAGGTTTTGCAATGAGAAACAGAAGCTGTCTGTACACCTTTGCAAGATAATTATTACATTTTAAGAATTTTGTGGGTCAGTTATCAAACAATATTACAAATTAAGTTGCATAAAATTAGAATTAAATTAAAAACAAAGGTCATAAATACTCAAAATTTCCTGATTATTTTATAGACTAACAGAAGCAGCAGTGACTAGATTCAGCTCTCAAACCATCCAGTCACTAGTCCACAGCCATTGCAGCAGCAGCCAGATGTTGCATTCTGCTTCTAGTAGTGAAAATGATAATGGTGGTGGCTGTGTGAGCTCCTTGATCACAGTTAAAGTGGTATTTCTTGCCACAGTTTTACAGGCAATGTTCTGATGGTCATTTGCCTGACTGGCAGAAGTGGCTGTCCCCACAGTTGTTCCAGAAGTGTCCTGGAAATCATTCTCACGGGCCCAACCTAAAATTCAGTCTTCTATCCTTTCAAAGATTCTCTACATGACTAATTCCCTATGTTATATCTCTTTCTGTTTCCTGCACTGACCTTTAGCAGACACTGCAAAGGGTGTGTAACATGTTGATTGTAGGAAGTTTTTTTTTTTTTTCTTGCCCACACTCATGCTCTTCTTCCACATACAAATAGCCAAGCAAGCCCACCATTCCCAGCAGCACTCTTATCTGATGAATAGTTTTCCCAGAACTCCTTCCTTCAGCTCTGCCTCACATGTACATTCTCTGTTCTGGGACACAGTCAATTCCATGGCCTGTCCTATACCCAGCAGCACAGTCTTTCCTTCCAATTATGTCAATACCTGTTACAGCCAAGCAAACTTACTGACACTGAGCCCAAAGTGCCCTTGATAGCTCACCTATCACATCCCTGAAAATCCCCAGGCAGAAAACTTACTTTCTCTCACTATATCCCCTGTTTACTCAGGAACAAAAAGTAAAAGTGTAGCCAAAATGGGGCAAGAAACACACAGAAGCCACTATTCAGGAGGATTTTACTAAAAGCATAGTGAACAATCTCTTTGATAGAAATATTTTCTTAAAGCTAAAACAAGAACAAAAATATTTAAGTACTCAACTGTATATCAATTAACAATTTATGACTGTTTATATTTTAACTATAAGCTCCAGCAGTAGGTTAGGCTAAAAAGGCCCCGAAATCTTGTGGCATATAATGATTAAAATTCTTTCATGTGCACCAATTTCTGGGTAGCCACTGCCTGTAACCACACTCGTGCATGCTGATGGCTTTAAAAAACAGTCCAGCACATCACAATTCTAAAAGAAAGCAGATTCCATGAGGAGACAGAACCTGTAATAAGTTTTCATCACCAATTTTCTACGTAAATTCTTATGCCAGAAACCAAAACAATGAAAGGAACAGATGACCTGGGTTCTAGTCCATAGTATGTCATTAGTAAGTCTCAACTTCTTCAACTATAAAATCATGGTACTGATTGGACTGCTATAGTTTCTTGCTGATGACTACCTTTAAGCCCAAATAGAAAGTGTATCAGTACAAACTAAAGAGGTGGCAACATTCTGCAGCCTGCTTTGAACTGCTTCTTCAAAGAATCCATCTTAGTGTATAGTACTTGAAACCTGCAGAAGAGGGGTCTTGAATACAATGAGTTATTCTTCTAGCTCTAGATCGGCTCAATTTTATTTAAGCAAAATATGCTTGAAAAAAGAGTCTGTATATTTATAAAAGACCATTAGTTTCAAAATATTCAATTCTACACTCACCAGAACACTTCCTAGGCTACTTATCTCAGGGTAAGTGTGCTAACAAACACCTACCTCGTGAGTAAATTTCACACCAAAAGGACAGGAAATGTAAGAACAAGGTATTATTTCTAGTATCAAGTATACAATCTTCCCAAGTATATTCATTCTAAAGGTATCCAGGCTTTTACATGTAACTACTTAAGACTATTCTCTCATAAATGTAGAAAGAATTAGGACTAACTTTCAATTTGAAATAATTCTTATGAATAACTGCAGTTTAGCCATACAGATTAAACTATACTATCAAAAACTTTGTTTAGAAACAGACTCAAACAATGAAGCTTTTATTTTAAGTACCTGTCCAATGTTTTACTGCATATAACACCCACTCAATTAGGGATTTTCCTTTTACTACAGAAAGGCAGATTTTTCAGACATAATGAACTAATATACTAGCCAAAAAATGAAAGAGAAAGGCTTAGGGCTGTTCCTTTTCATAGTTCCCACTGCACGAAATTGGACATGTTAATCTCTCTGAATTTCAGTTTCCTCATGTTAAAGAAGAGATGTGAGTCCTAATTTCTTTACAGGAAGATGTGATTGCCAGCATATATGTTCTTATAAACCATTATCAGAAAGATGTATAATGCCTTGCTACATGGTTGTTATTCAGTAAATGACAGCTAGTACACCATGGTACATTCCAAAGGCAGAACAATTGTGTTACACATGCAGTGCAGTGGTCTGAACATGAAGCTGCCACCAAAAGGAAGGTGAAGTGTGGCTTTTAACCTAACAGCATTACATCACAAGATAATTCTACTTAGCTCTGTTAAAAAAAAAATTTAAAATTCTCACTACTATGTTATTCTATCCTAAATCAAATACTAAAATTGGTGGCTAGAACCTTTAGCTAAAATCAATAACATTGTGACAAAATGTTCTGCCCAAAAGCTATTGAAATAAGTTAAGATAGCTCTGTGAGCAGAGGTAAGGAAGAATGTATTATTTTAACAGATTTCATGGTTCAAGTAATCAGTACATGTAATTAGTATTAGAGAACTTTAGTCATTATAGGCTTCTGAAGTAGAAGCAGTAATTTTCCAAATATGGCTAGAAGATACCACTAGAGAGAATAAACTCATTAAAAAAAAAAAAAAAGAATCAAGCAGTGATGACCCCAACATGCCATCTGAGTTGCACTGCTGAAATCTAGAGGCAAAAAAATAAATTAAAAAAACCAAACTCTCTATTTTAATTCATATTAACAAATTATACCCAATTCCATATATGTTTTATGTTTGTTGTTTTGTTGGGGATTTTTTTTAGGGGGCTTTGGTAGTGGTAGTTTTCGGGTTGGGGTGTGTTTTTTTATTTTTGAGACAAAGTCTCACATATCCCAGTTTGATTTCAAATTTGCTATATAGCAAAGACTGACCTTAAACTCCTGATCCTGCAGCCTACACCTCCCACGTGCTAGGATTACAGGCTTGTGGCACCATACCCAGCTTAAAATGTTGATTTTTACCTGCAATCACTATATACCAATAATTTATGAATATTTAATATTCACTAAAGATCCAACTATCAAATGACACTGAGCAAAAGCCATTTGTGCATAAAATAAAGGTTGGCTTTAAAATTATTATTTTTAGCCAGGTGTGGTAGCCTAGGTCTGTAATTTCATCACTCAGGAGAGTGAGGAAGAAAGGTTATGAGTTTAAGGCTGCCTGAGCTACGTAGCGATACCCAAAAAAGCAAAAATAAAAAATACTTTGTATTACAAAAGCTGAAGGCATTAATTAATGCAGTAATTAGAATATAAAAAGTGTAATTTTTTATTTTAAAACAGCCAAAATGACCTGTGCCCTCATCCCAATCTTTTTTTAAATATTTTATTATTTTTATTTTATGTGTACGAGTGCATTGCCTGCATGTGTGTAAGTGCACCCATGTCATGCAAGGCCCACAGAGGTCAAAAGAAGGCGTCAGATGCCCTGGAACTAGAGTTGCAGATGGTTGTTAGCCGCCATGTGGGTGCCGGGAACCAAACCTGGGTCCCCTGCAAAACCAGTCAGTACTCTTAACTGCTGAGCCATCTCTCCAGCCCCCATCCCAATCTTAAGCTCTCCAGTCTTACTTGGAATATCCGTTTTCCAGTAGAAGCAGAAAAAAAAAAAAAACCTTTAACAAAAGAGATGAGATTTTTTTTTTTTTCCTGCAATGTCTGCCAAATAGCTTTTTTGGGGGTTAAACAGGTACCGACCATATCATACTCTACTTTAAGTAGTGTTTCCAAGCTAGAAGTCAGTAAGGTAGTTCTAGGAGATCATAGTTAAAAGGAATAATTAGGAACTCTCAGAAATAATATAAAACAATGCTGTCATCTTTTTCTCACCACCAAAGTTATTAAATGATCCTCCAAAGTATTTCAGCTACATAAGAACAATCAGCACTAATTTGGAGAACCTTACTTGTGCTTGTTGTTGCTGTTTTGTTTCAATAAGTGAGAGAACACTTACAAATAGTATTCCTCAACTGAACATATCCAAGAATCAGCACCTCAATTTCCTAAACATCTAAACTTTTTTTCTCACAAAGCCACTTTATTTATTTTTACTGCACTTATTTATGTGCATTGTGTTTGTGTGCATGTGTGTGCATGTGCCACAGCATGTGTGTGAAGATCAGAGGACAACCTGGAGGGAGTAGATTCTTTCATTCCATCACATGGGTCCTGTGAGTCAACTCAGGGTGCCACGCTTGGTGGCAAGTAACTCTACCACTGAACAATCTTGCCAGCCCCACACCTACATTTTTACACAAAAGTAGTTTTCAAATTTAAAAACATCTCAAATGGAGCAATATTTGAGCAAAATACGTGATAAAGCTAGTGTCTCGGTTTTGTTCTTTAGCCTGTATCTATTTTTTTGTTTGTTTGTTGTTTAAATAATAGCTTTATAACAACTATGTCCTACAGTTAGCCTCAAAGTAAGAGATATTAAATGTATTAAAAGACGTCACTTTCTGTGTTGTCTGCTTAGGCTCCCTTCCTTGGAGGAACTCCCCTCTCCCAACTCTTGGGGTTCTGCTTTAAAGATTAATCCCATGGTGCTATCTATACCTAGCTGCAAAAAAGGAGCTGTCATCCAAGTCTCACCAATCACAGAATACCACAGACCTCTCCTCACAATAATGAGTCAAAGAGAAGGGCACAGAGTACATCAAAGTCCTGCATGGAATCTGTTATTGGATACCATAAGGAAACATGAGAAGTTCTAAGAACGCTTATTTCCTAAGGGTTCAGAGCTACCTTTCCTGTTTGTCTTCTTAGAGAATTTTCAAAATTGATGCGTGAATTAGGTTTTACGTTAACTTAACTGCTGAGTTCTAAACTATTCATCACAGAAATCTGTGCAAGCTAGATAATTAGATTCAAAGAGCAATGTTTCTGTATTATTACTCCAGTGGAGTTTTAAAAGGGTTTTGTTTGTTTTTTGTTTTGTTTTGTTTTTTGAGGCAGGGTCTCCCTGTAGCCCCAGCTGTCCTGGAACTCACTATGTAGACCAGGCTGGCCTTGAAATCACAGAGACCTGCCTGCCTCTGTCTCCCGAGTGCTGGGATTAAAGGCATGTGCCACCATGCCCAGCTTAAATGTTAGAAATTTTTATCAGTTACTGTTCATATTGCAAATCCAAGACAATAGGAAGGGACATTCTAAACAGAATACATCCTAACAACTAGTTTAAGGCAAAATTTTTTCTAATTCCCTCCCATTCCATAATATTTTTTTAAAGTATAATTAAAAAGGAGTTTAAACATAAGTACCCTGAGTGTTCTTCACCCAGAACAGACCAGTTAATAAATGAAGATCTCTGTCAGGTGTGGGATAACTCCCTATGAGTAATATTTTTTAAAACCCAAATAAATTATTGCAAGAAAATTTAAATCCCCCCCTTTATTTCTTTTGATGACCCAATGAGTTTCATTATGGTTACTTACAGAAGTATGGGAGAGGAGTTGTTTACAGATACATGGGTACCTTACCAGTGGCTATACCACTAAAGAAAATGTCTTTCCCTCACCCAGCAACCATTAGCTTTATATAACTCCTCAGGGAGGGGTGGGCCTCATGAGCTCTTCCCCCCTCCACAATAGGATGCTGTCCAGCCCAATCTTATGCACATTTTATAATCATAGATGCTGAATGCTATGAGTTCAAGAGTTCATCATGAACAGTGTCCCGGCCAGAAGTCAGGGTTCTATACCACACCCCACTCCCTCTGGCTCTTACAGTCTTTCTACCTCTTGTACCTGAACCTTGGAGGGGGTAGTACAGATGTCCCATGTATGGCTGAGCATTCAACTGTCATTTATTTTCATCACTTCGACTAGTTATAAGTCTTTGCAGTTACTGTTGTCCACAGCAAAAGGAAGCTTCTCTAACCAAAGCTGACAATACCACTAATCTATGTAACCCTTTAGAGATTGTCTTAAACAATATCTCTAATGTGTAAATAAAACAAACTCACTAAATCTATAAGCACAGACTGCCCTTTCTCGGGTATTTAATATATCACAAGTGAAATTAGCATCCCCAAAATGTAGTCTGTGCTCTCTTGGCCATGTTGGAATGACTGAAATAATGTGGAGCTTGCTCTTCAGAACCACTGTGATATAGTCACCAACTACATAAAATTTCTGGGGTAGTAGGGAAATAAAGATATATTGATACCACCCTTGTCATTGGAAACCAACTGGCTAAGTTCCCTTTTTAAAACAAATTATATTTTCCCATAAAATTTGTTGTGTTTTCAAAGCAACACAAATAAGCCTGTTAACCATAAAGAATTAGTACTGAGAGTAATACTTCAAATGTATTATGGGTAAAATAAGAATACTTATAGTAGTACCTTATGAGGCTAAACACAGAAATAACATTAAATACATCAATAGCATTATTATTAGGAGAAAACACGTTTCAAGCTAGAATTTAAAGAACATTATCAGGGATAATTCATTACAGAACTCCACATTTAAACAATATGAAGCTCTGTTTCCCAATTATTTTATAATGTATGAAATAAAAATTTCATACAAGATGAAATGATTCTAATATGCAATTGTATAGAAACTATTGAGATGGAACACCCTACGGATCTTTATACATTGAACATTCTTGCCCTATGTTTTTCTATTAATCTGCTACTAAAAATGTCCCTCTACAGCTCAACCAAAACTTACCTATCTTTCAAAGCCAAAATAAGTTCAAAATTCTTTACAATTCCCTCCCCAACCAGCCAAGTCAGAAAACAAGGGTACATAAAAAGAACCCTACCAAGACATAAAGATGAGTCCTTTCTTCTACCTCATATATAAATTTAACTCCCAAAGTTTCACTAGTTACACCCACATGAGGATAATTTCTTAGAATTTTATTTTTCAAGCAAATTACTTAATCTGGTGTTCAACCAAAACATAGCAGTGATTCCAACATGGGTGGCATGGGAAAATCGTTCTAAAAATGGCACAATACAGCATTTTGTGAGCAAATTAAGGGCTTTAAAAAAAAGGTTATTCATATCTTTCTCTTTTTGTGTAATAACTTAGGAATCAAAAATCGTTGCTGAGATCTCTCCTTCCTCCCTCCCCCACCCCCCTCACTGAGACAGAGTCTCACTATGTAAACCGAACCAGCTTTGAACTCTCAATTATCCCACCTCAGCCTACCAAGTAGCAGAGCCCACCACCACCTTCAGCTTACAGTAACTTTTTAGAGCAGCACACTCCAGGCCCTTACTAAGTTTAGTTTTCACTACAATTCATATTAAAACTCATCTGAAGAGTTTTAAATACTGGAAGAAAGGTGAAATAAAGGAAAGACTTTCTCACAGGAATCCTTGCCAGTCAGTCACTCAGTTCCTATAACTCTGTGCTTTTTGAACACACCACTTCTGACTCATTTGACATGGCCAGTGCTAGTTGCTGTGGGAACATCACTAGGTGTTTGAAGAAGGGTAATGTTCTGATAAGCCATTTTTTTTCATTTTCTCTTAATAAAGTAAAAGCAGCAGCTTTCCGTGGAATACATTCTGAGTAACTGATTCTTCAAGGACAGGAAAAGCAATGAATGGATTTGCCTCTTCTCTACCACAAACAAGTACACAATACCAGCCTCCACACTGCTGAGTACTTCACCAGTCTCAGCAGAAATCTTATATTCAGGGCATCTAG